TGTGGTGGCATAGCTGTGTTTGAAGGGTGACCCTCCTATTCCCAGTTTCTTTATATAAGACGTTTCTAATCGTGTTCATCCCCTTTCCCAGATAATGTAGGTGACGATAAAATTAACGAGGCATGATGACGATTATCGAACTTATCATTAATATCTCTCTTTTCGATACTCTTCTCTAACACCTCTAGCAACTTCTTTCCTTATTTTACAGATCCGACGAAAAAGAAAGAAATTATTCATATAATATAATGCACTACTCGACGTTCTTAAGAGTAAGGTTGAAATTGCATTTTAAGCGCGGTCATTCGGTAGGGCATAGGTCAGTCATTGGTGAAGTTACATATAGGGTTTCTTGACTTAAAGTAGTTTAACAAATTGATGTCTAGCATAAAACATATGTAATTTTGATTCAATTTAGGCTCCTATTAGACGCATAAATGTTATATAATTTGAATTCGGGTGGTTGTGTTCATTCTCTCTCTTTATTTAGTAGAAATACTAAAATTTTTGTAATTATTTTTCGTAATAGGACTTTATTAAGAAAGATTCATCCTGATTGATTGAAGAGTCTCGGTTACGTAGATTACTGATCGTATTAGTGCGTCTTAGTTTGAGGACTTGGTGCATGTTGACTGTTATTTTTGCTTCTGTTACTCACAATGGGTTTAATTATTCATCATTTTCAATAGAGCTGCTGGAAAGACCAAAATTTGGTTAATTTAAATCCATTGAAAGAAACGTCATCTTCAGGATATGTACAGTAATTGATAACTTGCGTTAGGGAAATGTTGAAATAAAATTGACCATAGTGACTTTGACAAAAAGCTGTCGATTTTATAATGGTTGGAAAAGGTAATGCGCATATTCATGCATCATAGAATAGATGTGAGTCTAGTATTTCGTAATATTTTTGTTGAAAAAGCAAGTGCAAAAATTTTTAACCAGCTCGATGTGATGTGTACACTAATCTATCACCATAGGTTGATTTATGAGCTCGGATGGTTTCATTAATTTGTTTAACTCTTTTTACCAAGTATACCCTGGAAGAAACCCATGGAAGAATATGACTGAGCTCGATCCCATTGCAAATGGTTGTGATCTTGGAAGAAATCTATTCGATCCGGTCGTGACACTAGAAAAAAAATTTCGTCAAGAGTTCGTGATCCTTGAAAAAAAACAATCCAGTCTAGATGTCGTGTTTTTCGAAGAAGTCTATCTGATTTTATCGATCCAACCAAATGGTCTTATTCCTAAAAATACACTATCTGAACTTATCGATCCCACAAAGAGACATAATCTTTGGCTGAGCAGTATGATATCATGACTTAATAGTCCCTATAATGAATATATAACCTTTTTATCATGTCTACCTCTATCGCTTATTAACGAGAAACTGAAAATATTCATACGAAAAATACCTCGAGTTCTTCCCTATGAAAAGTGGTCATTCTAGCAACAGTTATTTAAATGTTGAAAAAAAAAAAGACACATCATTTCTTTACAGTTCACTATATATCATAAACAATATATTCACACATTCGTTGTGTTGCTCAGGAACTCCTAACAATAAAAAAGTAAGTATATTGGGAGAAAAATTTAAGGTGATATTTTATAATGAATGCGAATGCCGGGCCAATCATATTAAACGATCATTAACTAAGTACAAATTTTATTAACAAAATTTGGAAATACAAAAGAAAAACCTATAATTACTACTTTACTCTTCTCCGTAATAGGCTTTAAGAGAAGATATCCCAATTTCTCTATCTAAAGCAAAGACGAAGTCTAATTATAAATAAAATTATTATAAACATCAATTGATCAATCAATGCATATGATCCAAAAATTAATTAAGACGGGAATGGGGATTCTAATGCTGATGGAGTTGCTGATGTCATGATGGATATGACGAAGGTTAATAATTGATTTGTTTTATCTAAATTGCATAATTTGACTATCTATTTACTTTTTTTTAAAAAAATAAATAGCTATCTTTGTATAATATAAATGATGATACATGATAAGAGGGTGTTCTTTATTTTAAATTTGTTTACTAAGCGTTTGTAGATATATTATTCATTTCTTTATGTTAGATATTACGCATAAAACACTTCAGCCCAGTATCTCATGATATCGCATATTTTATACAATAAATCTATGGTAATCCAAGTATGAACCGATGAAATAAAGATTAAAATCAGACAGGTCAAAGTTTGAAATGTAATAAATTTTTTACTCTGCATTTTTAATAAATGGATTTGAATTAATTGAAAGAGATAAAATAAAAAAATTTCTGTTGAAAATACATCTAAATATAAATAAATAATGTTCCGATAACGGACAAGAGGATTCAATAATTGAACATATATGATTCGATACGATAAAAGGATTGACTTTATTCAAATAAAAAAGATGCAAAATACAATTATGAGATTCGTAAATTAAAACTTTGGCAAGTGATTTTCTTAAATATTGAACTGTTAAGATTTTATTATATTTTATTTTTAAATAAAATAAAAATAAAATAAAATAAAATAAAATTAGGATACCGAAATGGTTTAAAGACATTGGAATCCCTGGTATCTGTAATTTTTCCGAGGGTAATTTACAGTATCTAAGGTTATATTATTTGCAAGCAATTATTTATTTAAATGTCTAATTTCCAAAATAATGTATAATATTATTTAAAAAGAAATTCATTTGAAAACAATACTAGTTCTTTCTTTAATGTTTTTTCTTATGATAATAAAGAAATGTTTAGTATATAATCTTAGCATCGGATTACGTTCGCAAGCCCAGTAAAATTGCGATTAAATATTAATAATCAACTAACTTTTATGTTTTTAGTTAAAAACATATAATAAAAATAACTTATATATTATTTAATAAAAAAAATTTAGTGAAAATAAAAAGTATATAATAACTTTAGAATTAATCTTTCATCAAACGAATGGCGACATTATATGAATGTTCTTGTTAAATAAATATACGAGATTATTTCTTATTCTTCTACTGAATTTTATTAGTTCTGAAATTTTAAGAAAAATTATAGAATATCGTCTCAATTATGTTAAACTTCATGCTTACCAATTTAAGTTATTTCTTTTTTCATTCCTTTTTGCAGAAAAAAAAATATAAAAACGAAATGTAATATAATTATTTTAGCAATATTTAATGACACACAATAATTGATATGATAATTATTTTTGATACTTTTGACATTTTCGTTATTTTTTTCGCAATTACTGCGCCATTCGTAAATGTCGATTTCTTATAATCATATCGTAACTTCACGAATAATTTCCGATAACCCGTGAAGTTGCTATCAATAATATCCCTCTGATTGATTTGAAATGGTCATAGTAAAAAAAAAAATCTTAATCTGATTACCTAATTCGTAAAGATCGGTTATGCGCCTAAAAAATAGTTTATGCAATCTTATTGTATTTGTCGTTACACCATTCCATGAATATCATATCAAACATTACCTAATTTGCATTAATGTTTTTTTAAAATTCTTCTCTCTTACAAGAAAATAATTCATAAAATTCGCAGTATTTTCAAAATGACATCAGTATTTCATTCAGGTCTTTCGAAAGATTTTTCATTAATTTTAAATGATGCTGATGATTACAACGTCATTATACAAGTTGGTGAAAACCAAAATATAAAAGATTTTCGAGCACATTCAGTAATTTTACGGGCACGTTCTCCATACTTCAAAAGTGCCTTTTCGTCTAATTGGATTACAAAAAAGAATGATATGATCATGTTTGAAAAACCAAACATCACTCCAACCGTTTTTGAAATGGTTTTAAAGTATGTTATAGTATAAATACATATATATGAAATGAATTAAATTTAATTATTTTTATTCGATTAAATTTATAAAATTTTTTAAAAGATTTTTATACACAGGCGAAGTTAACTTGGTCGATCAGTCAGGTGAAGATATATTCGGATTGTTAATTGCATCAGATGAATTATTGCTTGATGAATTATTCAAATATGTCCAAGATCACTTATTTGAAAAGCATACCTCTTGGATGCACAGCAATTTTGTTCTTGTTCTTCATTCCGTATTTAAACTTGCTAGTTGCAAAAAACTTCAGGATTATTGTCTTCAATCAATTTGTACTGATCCACAACCATTTATCAATTCGGAAAGCTTTTCATCACTAGATAAAGACGTCCTACTTGGATTGCTTAAAAGAGATGATTTTCAAGTCGAAGAAATTGTCATTTGGAATTGTTTAATCAATTGGGGTATTGAACAAACTCCTGGGCTAGGAAGCAAGAATTGTAATAGAACAAAATGGAATCAAGAGAATTTTGAAGAATTGAAAAAATCATTAGAACAATTCATTCCCCTAATTCGGTTTGTGGAAATTTCACCCGAAGATTTTTTTGATAAAATTCGTCCTTATAAGGCTGCTATTCCAAACCATATTTATGAAGAAATCGAGGAATTTTATTATAAAAAAACCTTACCAAAATCAACAAATTTAATTCCACGATCTAGAAAGTTCCAAATCGAAATTGAGTCACAAGTTATCAAACCAGATCTCGCAAATGTAATTGCCCATTGGATCGAAAGAAAAGATGATGTTAACCTTCTGCTTAAGGAAAAGTATAAGTTCGAGCTTATATATCGCAGTAGCCAAGATGGGCTTACTCATCAAGCACTTCGTAGTAAATGCAATAATCAAGGTTCATGTTTGGTTTTAGTTAAACAACCATCAACAACAAAAATTTATGGAGGATATAATCCACTTGGCTTTGTTCCCAGCAATGGGCAATATCTTGAAACAAATGAGAGCTTTATATTTTCTTTTGAAAATGATAAGGATACTACAAGTATGAAAATAAGTCGTGTAGTTAATACTAATTATGCAATGTGGGAAGAAAATGGTAATGGATTCAATTTTGGCAGCACTTTTTATATGTTAAATCAATCTATTTATTTGAACTATAATGATCGTTATGATGGTAATATTGTTGCAAATTCAAGTTTCAATTCTAATTTTGTTCCATCTCTTATTGAAGTTTTTAAAGTTATACCAAATGTTTCTAAGTGATTTATTTATCTTAAACGAACGTAACATAAAACTTTATCAGTTTTATGAAATCAAACTATCAGTAAAAATTTTGGAGGGCCATTGAATATTATACGGATTCTTGGTGAATTTTAAAATTTAGTTTCTTTAATTATAACCTTCGTTGAAATTATAGATCATCAAATAATTCTTTGAAATAATATATGAAATAACGTAAATATATGAAATTTAAACTATTAAATAAAATTAAACTTAAATCTTCATTCTGGTTTTAAAGACTCGCTTGATAATTTGATAATTTCGATTGACGTACGTGTATCATACTATATTTTAATTATTTTTGAATTGATATCCGCTTATTATATAGCATAAAATTCAAGTTAAGAAAGTAAATAGGATAAAAATATTATCAGATCAATATGGTATTGTTAAAATATAAATTAAATTAACTCACCCGCCATCGCCGATGAAAGTTCACGTCTTACTATAATTTATCATTGAAGCTCTCGAAAGGTATGAACATCGGTTGGATTAAACTGGGACATCCTTTGGAGCGCTTTCTGTGAAATACGATCCGACGAACCAATCTATTCGCTTGCCATAGAATTTTTGTGAAGAATTGAGCCCTGGATGAAGAATAACAATATTGTGTAGAAAAGATAAATGATATCGAAATTCGCTTATCCTTTCGCCCTAAGTCTATCAATTAATTCTTGGTACTTACGGACATAAATCTGAACAAACTTTGATGAGTTTTGAAGATATCCTTGCTTTAAGGATTTACATACGGTATGTTGATACAACATACAACTTGGAATTAATCAGAACTTTTAGTTCTGTTAAAAAACGCAAAATAATTTAGAAGTAACTTTCTTTTGTCTTTGAAATCAATTCTAGAATGTCCAAAGTTAACTAACTCAATAATCTCAAGGAGGTCTGGATAAATATTTCGAGTTAATTTTATAGAAATTTCTATTTTGTACCGCAGTATCGCAACATTCTCTCTATAGCACACGTGATTGCATTTTCGTATTTTATAGAACTAGTTTTGATAATTACAAGCAATTTAGTTGGAAATCAAATCATTATGTAAGGGGTACTGAGACAATATTATATAATATTTTGAAATAAATTAATAAAATAAAAGGTCTTGGATGATTTGCCTTCCTTATGGATCAAGAAACGTTTTAAAATAAGGTTAATTTTATTTCTCCAACTGTAAATCCTATCGAATAATTAATCAAAAAAAAAATGAAATGAACGTATTTTTTAAGAGTAGTATGAAAGTATGAATTGTGTAATGTCAACTCATCTATAGATGATAAAATGACTAAATTCTGGAACTAAAATACAGATTCAGATTTCTATCGCTCAATTTACTCGATAAAAACAAAGCTGAAGCTGCAACAATGGTGATGAGAAACGTGCCTATTTAAAGTTGATTGACGATTTGTAAGTTTTCTAGTAACATTTGTGTATTCTAATTTATACAAACTTTGACTTACCTGAAAGGTCTCGCTCAACTGAAACTGAACCAGTTATCGGTTCATAATTTCTAGTGAAACTTTATTTTTGTTTATATATTTTATTGAATTATTACCGACCTACTTACAAATGATAAAATATCTGAGCTTAAAGCACAAAGACATATTTGAAGAGCCTATTTTCGGAATATTTTGACCTAAAAGGAGCGGATCTTAAAATACTTGCTTAAAAACTGAAATTTAAGCAAGTTTTATAGAAATCTTTTTACTAATACATAAATCAAGTTAGTTTTATTGGATTCATGCATGGACGCGTATAATAAAAATATTAATTAATAAATAAAAGTAATTTATTTAATTTAATAAAACAAATAAAAAATTATTAAAAAATTAATAAAGTTTTCCTTAATAAATGGTAGGGCATTAGAAGCATTTTAAACTGGCTTTATAGTCATAATTAGAGCTTTGAACGGGTCGGGTCGGGTCGGGTTACATGTTCTGACCTGACCTGACCCATTTCTTATCATCCCTTCCCTTTCCAATGAAAAGATCCGCTCTTAAAAAATGGAAGAAAAAGTTAGTAAAAAAAAAAAAAAAAAAAAAAAAAAAAAACCTCTGAAGAATTCCCAAAGAATACTAAAAGAAGGCTTATATAACAAGAGAATCCTATAGAAAATGAGTAAATAAAAAGTAAAAATCTTCTAAAGAAATCCTTAAGAATTAAGAGAACAAAAAGTAAGTAAAAAGAAATATCCTAAAGTAGGAAGTGGAATCGATTTCGATATTTAGTGTTGTGACGAAATTGATTTTCATCTGAAGTTAAACACCCAGATATTTTTGTGTAACTAAAATCGAATTTTTTGTATCGATTCCAATTTCTATTTCTGTGTATATTAATTAATGTACAATTCAAAAGAGAATGTTTAAAGATGAAGTAATTAGTTTGAGAATTAGAAATATTAAAAATCCATAAAAAATATTTGTTTATACATCAAGAATTGTAGATATACTTAATAAGTTCAATTGAGAATTTTTCTTGTAACACGTCATATCGTGAGTGGCTCTCTTTTCAAGACTGAGTACGAAATCCTACATCGGTGACCATATTTAGTTTATTATGTTTTAGCCATTATTTACTAGTAAAACGTTGTCATTGTTATAAATATCCAGGTTAGGAGCTGGCAAGCAGACATGTATTGTATTTAGACAACTTGTAAAGCCAATTTATTGTATTCGAATGGTGAGGTGATGATGAATATTTTTACAAAGGTATTTGTTATTTAATTGAAATCCATTGAGTAAAGCAACACTTCAATCAGTTGAAAAATCAAATGAAATTTGCCAGAAGATTATTTAGTGAAAATAATAAGGTACTTGATGACATGTATAAGAATGATGATGTGCAAAATATTTTGTGTAAAATATGAATTTTTTCTAGACATACAGTATTTTCTTTGAAAAAAAGTTTTAATAATTCTTTAGAAACCTACAATATTGACGAAAATAGCAACAAAAGCATTATGATAATGAATATGATTTGAAGGAATTCAGATTTACTGTAGGTCACCCTGGATTGGTTACAAAAAAGTGAGATGTTCTCTTAATTGCAAGTAATTCCTAAAAATATTTTAAATTAAAAAAATTTAATCAAATGGGATCTTTGCAATAAAAAAAAGGAAACTGCCAGAAAAAATCAATTTTACTTTTATATGCCAAATATGATTTTAGATCAAAATATATTCAGATTTTAGCATTAACTCCTTTTTTATTTTTTCCAGCTGTTTTTCTCTTTTCTATTGTAAAAGTCTCAAATAATCAGATACAGATAGATTTTCTTTTAATTAAATCTATTGATTTTGAATGAATTCATAAAATATTAAGAAATCAAATATTACTGGTAGTGAAAAATTTTTTAGTAATTTTCTTAAACTATCAAGTGAATACTTGATTTAATGGTTAAATCCTATAAGATGATTTATAATACATTAGAGTTTAGAAAGCTATTTAATAAGGATTCAGAAAATATTATAATAATTAAAGTTAAAATAAATCAATTTGAAAGGTGCTAAATTAGTTCTAGAATCTTTAGTTCATTGATATTTTTGTGAATGTAAAAAATTTGTACATTCTAGCTAAATTTATTATAAATGATAATATAGTCAATTGTTACTTAAGCAAAATCTAATATTATTGTCTAAAGTATTGTGAAAGATACTTCTATTATAGTCAAAACTATGCAATATCTGTTAATTATAGAATTAACCAATTAAAATTTAAACTAAATGTAATATAAATACATAATTTTTACTTAATTATTATATTTTATATTATCAGAATTAATGAATTTTTTTCATATAAATTGTATTAACAAATTAATATTATATAAAATCAGTATTTTTTTTAACTTTTATTTGTTATATATTTAAATGTAAATTAATACTTTAAATATACAACTGTTTTGTTCTCTAATTTTACTCTTAATATTAATTTGCTATTCAGACTAATTAAAAATTTTCTAGTAAATATTCGCTGATATAAATTTGCAAGTTTTTCAAATATATAATATTATTATAACAAAAAGAAATATATAATGTAATGTTGAATTATAGGATACTAAATTTTATCTGAAAAATCATGATTATATAATACTAGTACATTATATTTTAGGTTAATTTATACTGATTAATTATCAAATTCCAGTCTAGTAAAATGCAAAGAATATTTAACTATTAATTCAATTAATAGAAAATATATTATTTGTAAAAATAAATTAAATATTTTCAGTATTAATTTGGTTATTAATCCTATAAAATATTAGTTATATTTCCTTTTAAATTTATTTAATTTTGATATATTTTAGCTTATTTTTAATATCTGTTAATTGAATATAAATTAGACGCTAAACTATAAATAAAATAGGTTGAATTTTAGCTAATTTTTAATATATGACAATCGAATGTAAATCAAATATCTACTATAAATAAAATAAATCAAATTTTAGCTAATTTTGATATATTCCAAGTAGCTATAAATATGTCAATTATTTTTTTAAGTTAGAATTATTAATTATATATGTTTATAATATATTAAAAAAACTCTTTATTTTTATATTGTGACTGTCATCATAATAGTTTCATAACTACAATTAAAATTTCAAAAGGATAAATAAAACTAAGACTGTTACTCAAAAAATTATGGTAAAGATTCACAATAATATTAAAGATTATTCTTAATATAAACATGTAAGATAAATACAAAATAAGTATAAAAATAATTTAAAATATTTCAGTGATTACACTTCAGAGACCCTAAGTTAATAGAGTAAATCAATATAATATTATACTATTAGTTTATTAATAAAAGTTAAAGAAATTGCAATGAATACAAAGAGTTATGAATAAATTGTAACAGTTTCAAAGGGTTGTGAAGGATAAGTTTTATACTTGATTAATTATACTTCTTTTTAATATAATAAATAAGTTTAGTACTTAAAAGATTAATATCTTATCAGTATTGAGACTTAAAGAAAATAAGTTACCATTTCATTAAGCAATAAAATTACCATATTAATAAAATTGTCATATTTGCAGATAACTAAATAGATATCTATGATCTACGTAATTATTAAAGGTAATAAAATTAAC